GCCTCGTCACGACCGAACCGCGACTCGAAGGAAGACTTAACGTACGTGAAATATACGGAATGCAAAGCGGTAATCAAAAAGGTGTACGAGAGAGCTTTTGCAATTTGAAACTCCAAAACAAAACGGAAGAAAACGCGTGCTTTCTCGGGACAAATGGAGCCTCAAGACAACGAGATTATTCGCGCGAAAGAAGCGTATTTTTAGTATTTATATTGGCCCCTCTTCCTTTATCCTTCAAAAACGATTCGACTCGGAAACTAGATTCAAGGCAACAAGTCTCTGACGGTGAAAAAAAACGACCTTCGCTATCAATGCGAGCATCTGTCCGATATTTCTTTCTTTCAAGTGGCGCGCGCGATACATGATATCCATGTGTGCGTAAGAAGAAAAATGGAAGATAAAATATTTATTCTCGTCTGATGTGATGAGCTGGCAAAAGAAAGCTCTCGCGATTGTAACAGACACCTGGCGCATAAGAATATCGCGAAAGAAAATTACCGTCGAGTATTATACGTCAGGAACCGCGTCGACCGCGAGGTCTGACGATAAAAATTCGAGCTCTGGATTTAGCAACGCTAGCATTGACAGAGAGGTCGCTCCTCTCTCTCCGAAATTACCTTGCCTCCCACGTTGGATCACCTCGTTAGGGCGATCATGTAACCCTAGAAGACAATTAAAAGAGAAAAAAAAAAAAAAATATTTCACGCGATCGTCCCTTAAAAAACCCTCCTAAGCTAAATTTAACACCTAAAGTTGGTCGTAACTCGATAAAAATTAACTTCTATTCTTTTTGTATTAATCCCCCTTCTCTCTCAATGTGTCCCCCATCTTCATGGTTTTTTCATCGCGCCTTAAAATAATGAGATTATTTTGACGGAAACTGTGAAATCAAATGACCTCGTCAATTGCGTCCATTATAGCTACATAGAAGAATCATGTCTGAGTTTAATATCATCTTCCGATGTTAACAAAGAGACCGCTTGTTACAAATAGTACGGGGAATATTATTTTCGAACCACCGGAATTATATACGACGCTTACTTCTCGAGTCGCAAAAGACGCGGAGTTGGACAGACGATGCGCATGATTTCCGTTTAGCCATCTGGGATGCCGGCATCCGGCCTACATCATCTGCCGCCTAATGTGCAGCTGTCGTAGATTGGCAGATGCAAGCAACGCGACGAGCCCGCAGCTGGCTCGTAGTCTCGACACACGTTGCCAAACTAAGACGGTTGGCAAAAATCCGTTTCATAGTTTCTTCTAGGGCCAACTTCTTCCACGGCGGAAAAAAAAATTATCCTGAACTACTCTCTTAACTCTTATTTTTTCGCTATCTCTATTCAAATCTGTGAGACCTACTTATTTTTTAGATGTGTTCGTATGATACAATATACTTTAGATTCAATGCTAATATATAACTATCGTATAGCTTCGCGAGTTTGTATAAGATAATGAAAAAAAAAGCCGCACAATCGCATCATTTTGCAAATAAATTACTTTATACGAAACTAACGCATGATTTAATAAAGAAACATATTTCTGGATACTTCATGGAAAAAAATCTGTTTTTATATATAATAATTTAAAATACAACTTTTATGTTTGCCAAGAAACCTTCAAATTTTTTTTTCTAAAGTACTGACTTTTACGATTAAAATGCCAAGACAGTATGAGTATTTGATTTTTCCGCCCGGATATATTAAAGTCAAAATAATTTTGATATTATTGTATTTCTTATTTTTTATCAGATTGGTTCATTTACCAAAATATCACTCGGTACATATATAGAAAGTTCTCTTATATCTCGCAAAGAAACGGTCGCATATCGAAATCATTTTTCAATACTACTGTCATTTTATTGTTATGTAATATATACTATCGCCTTGATACGGTTCATCGCTCCTATACGCGAGGATGACAAATCTGGGTCATCAATATAAATCACGATGGATGGTTTTATATTGTTATCTATAGTCTTATCTCCGTGAACAAAAAACATTTATATCAATGTGTAACAAAAGTATTGCGCGAAATTACCTCCTAATCTCTTACCTAATAATCTCAATTTTTTAGTCGCCTAATTGTGATAAAACGCGATGTCCTACATTATTTCTTCTAAAATTTCTCTGTATTATCAGATAGTTTTCTTTAATAAAATCATATTATATTTGATTTCCGATTACTGTCCGATTCTGATCAAATCTGTTTTTTAATTCTTAATCAAACTTATAATATTTCTACATCATATCGTAATTGATAGTATTTACTTTTTTTCTCAAATATTCTTTATCCTATATGGAAATTGCGTAACTATACCTAATCCGTTTAAGTTTTAGACACGGAAGACTTTTCTAATTATTTCCGGATTTGATTTAATTTAAAATTTGTGATAGTAATGAAAAGCAGTTCTTTGCTAACGTTCGTGATTTTGACTTTCCGACTGTTTGAAGTCCGGCATCAAGCATATGTTGATGTAATGAACTAAGGATAAACATGTATATATTTTCTACATGATGTCGATCAAAGGCAATACCGTTCCTCTAACTTGCTCCCTCATTTCTTTCATCATTTCTTTCATCATTATTTTTCTAGAAATCGCTACGCATTTGAGATTCCTTATCACATATATTCTAAGTCCTATAACGCCTCAAGGCCAATAAATGTTTGCAGAAATGTTTTTCGACCAAATACGTACAAATATACACGTGCCTATACGATATGTAAATGTTTACGAGTAGCTTTATGCCCATAGTTGCCATATATGATTTTTATCATCCAGAAATGTTTTGATGGAAACATTCGAGTAATAATATGTAATTTTCAAATAATTGTGATTATTCTGCGCGATCTCGGATTTAATTGGATATAAAGTAAATCGTAAAAGACAATAATGGAAAATGGATTGAATCTCATCAGGACAAAGTAAGCGAAAATATCCTTGTCCTTCTTTGATATTCCATGTAATTTCTATATAATTCTATCTTCTAATTGATTCTAATATAGGCCCTCAAAAATCGAGCTTGATGAAAAAGTGGCTTATATCTTCCATAAATTACCGCGAATTCGTTATCGCACGCGATGTCACGCTATTGATAAATATGCCGAAAAAATCGAGTTCAAACTATATAGCAAGCAACGCTAAAAATTTATGTGATAATCTAATTCCATAGTCGAGCGGCTTAAATAGAACGGCCACTTCGCGTTGTCCGAGGATCAGCGTAAAACGATCGACGAATGCAGCTAACGCCGCCGAAATATAGCACGCTGAGATTCTTGTGCAGCATCAAATTTCTCAAAGAGCATAAAATTAGCCGATTGGAGTCGAGACGACAAGACTGTCGACTCACACACACCAATGATGCACGAGATCCCGTTATATTCCTATCCGTCGAGAAATTCTCACGTTGCCTCGGCTTCTATTTCCCGTAGCAACAAGGAAATAACGTTAACCGGATGCGCACCGAAAATTTTTCCATCGCTTAAATTCGCTGAGCTACAACTTTCCGCTTTACAAACGAGATTCGAATACAAAATAGCGAGTTTAAGTTTCAAGGTTCGCCGTTTTATGAGAACGTAAAAACAATCGTCGAATACATTTCTATCCTTAGATTTAATCACGCGATATTAGTCAACTTTGTAAAAATTCATAAATGTGAACGAAATAAATCGGTTACGAAGATGGAGACAATCGAGAGAGTTCTATCTACTCATCTACCTACTGATTTTTATACCCACACGTTTCAAACTATTCCGTCTTTAATTATTTTCAACAATTTTTATTATCCTTAACCGCATATCAATTATATTATTATTCAAGTGTCGTATTGCATTCATAAGAGATCGAAAGTTTAAAAAATCGCGAATAATCGGTAGTCCACGCTGCTTTATGCGAATCGATTTAACTAATAAATTAATTAATAAAAAATTTTATTATGTGTGTCGATTCTTATATTTTGCCTCCTTTGCTCTCTCTCTCTCTCTCTCTCTCTTTTCAGAATTCTTTCGCTGTGAACGCATTTAAAAATAAAAAATGATGAAAAATTTTTCGCCCGATCGGAGGAGGGAGTTGTATATGTATTACTACTATCTGTTATGTTAACAATACTATTATTGTGTCCCGCAACGTTGCCTATCATCGGGAAATAAGATTCAGCTAGCTATTAATCATCTAGTTTTCTTATGGCGCGAAATTGACACGAGATTGAATCTCGTGTGACCCCGGGTCGATTGCGGGCAGTCCTCTTTGCTGTCGTACTCCTTTCGGAGGAGAGAGAGGCCACAGCGTTACGCGTTGCGAGGCTAACGAGGACGAGTCGACGTCACAAAACGAATACCGTATACCAATTATAGAAAATCGATGCAGATGTAATAAAAAAAGGCTCGCGCGCGCACGCGGCTCGTCTTACGTCAGACCTCGCGTCGCGACGCTACATTAAGAAAGGAAAAAGATAGAAAGAGGTATACACAAAGAACTTAAGAATTTAACGGAAAAGCTCTACATGCCCTGATAGAAAATAAAAAGCTCTTTCAGAGACCGTGCTACACTTGAACGTACCGGAATCTAGGTTGAACCACGTTATCGACAGCGAAAGAAAAATAAGCTCCGTCCCACCTGCGCAATAGGCACATATAATTACGCGCGCGCGCACACACATACACACACACATGCGTGTTACTCGCTTGTGTACACGTCATTGAAATTTTTTAGAAGCGTACTCGCTTGTGAATGAGCCATTGTCGGTTTCCGCCATATTAAAAAGATACATATCATCGTTCGAAATTTTCCACGTTCTCGAGAGCTCATTCAAAGAAGTACGCGCGTATTATACTCGACTAATTATAAATTTGTTTCAAATTTGCATTTCACCATTGTGGAAACTATTCTCACGTTGAGATGTTCGCTAACAAACGTGCTCCAAGTTCTAGCGAGTTGGGCCAATTACGAGTGCCTATTGTTACGGGGGTTGGAGACAATTGGAAAATGGCGAGGATGAGCCTACCTTGTGAGTCGCGTTGCTGTTGTGCGGTGGCCTCCTGAGGTGTTAGAAACATCTCATCTGTCGCCCCGGTAGCCCCTGCTCCTGTCAACGTGCCCACGACACCCCCCGCGTTACTTCTGTCACCAGTAACATGCCACGCGCCAATACCTGCTAAAATAAAGGGCAACCATACTTCGATAAGTGTCATTGTGAAGTTGAATATTTGTTCGTTACGCGATACGATACCGTTATGCCAGAAAAATGTATAATTATATAAAAAAAACCGTAAATGAGAACCCGCTTTGTCATGTTCCAAATTTGCGATCAAATAATAAAACAAAAATTAAAATTAGTTGTGAATCATTTGAAATCCTTATTTAAGAATATCAAATGATTTAAAATTAACGCATCCATGAAAGAATATTACATTCTAGGAATATATATGAAGGGTACTTTATTCACATAAACTCTTTTAAAGGGGAACAAAAATATTTTAGGACACATATGTAAGACCGACCAAGAAATTACGCAGCGAAACACAGGGCTTCACAATCGGAAAATCGCACAATGTTCCCTTATACAGTGGGAGTGCTTAAGATACATTTATATTATACAATACACTCCTAATCGTCCCTTTATATTCACGGTTCGTTACAACAAGTAATATTTGGCAAATTATGCGGAATAACATACACATCCGTCCCGCAGTTTGTCATATTCGCGCACATACTCGCATACGTATAGGTCGCAATCACACAAATTTTAAACAATCTACACTTAGTCTACATGTAACACTTAAGAAACAGATAAATACTACTGATAGTTTGACTATTTAAAATTCAAATACTTTGTATGTGTCGCTTGCCTTACTTCGACTCGCAGATATCTTTGTATTATTATTAAAACAATCCAGTTTGGAAGTGATTCTTGTCGGTGAGTTTCGATTTCAGAATAGATTTAACGTCAAAATGCGAATATATCTTTGTATTATTATTAAAACAACAATCCAGTTTGGAAGTGATTCTTGTCGGTGAGTTTCGATTTCAGAATAGATTTAACGTCAAAATGCGAATAAAGGAGAAATATCTGTTAGCAAATGTGCATATATTCTATAAAGCATGTTCGATTTGAGCGAACGATCTAAGAATATCCCGGATTTATATCAGTCTCCAATGTTTTGAACAAAATTATACAACGACTATTAATACTGACAATCTTGGCTGATCGGACTCAACGTAGAAGAGTGTGGTGCGTGTGACACTACAATACTCGCGTGCGTACACACGCGCACACTAAGTCTGTCTAGGCTGGACCGGGGTACTAGCAGGTTGCTGCCTCCATCTCCTCCTGACGACGTTCAATTTTTTCAAATAGAACTGCAGTGTTGAGCGATTAATGCCGTACATCTCGGATGCCTGAGTGGTGCTAACACCCTGTTGCAATATTGCCTCCAGGGACATTTTAACCGAGTCTAAGCTATACTTTCTGCCCTGCTTACTTGCCAGTGATTTAAGCAACGCGCCTACGTCAACGTCCGGGAGCGGCCGCCTCATGTTTGGCACTTTTTTACATTCGAGGAAATGGGAAGCCCATAGGGCACCACCATCACCACTACCCAAATTCCCTCTCGACCGAGACCGCGCTCCCGCCCCCCCACCTGCAACGAGGAAACCCAAGCTAGTGTCGGCCAATTTGTTACACGGCCCGCTTTAACAGATAACAAACAAAAGAACGAAACGACTTCGCGACACCAAAACTATTCATTCGTTCAACACATAAGCCCGTCCCTATTTACGAGTAAGCGAGAAACACTTATCACGACCGGCAATATCACGACCCCTGTTCAAGAATCACTTTCCAATCACTATATTAGACGTCAAGCTCCGCTTCGATCCAAAGAAGTCTTTTGGATCGAAGATTCGCTACTGTCGTTGACTCTCTCCAGAGCATGAAATTTCATATAGAATGGAATTATCCGCTGTATGTATATTCTCCATACTCTTAGACGCGACACGCAGTTTAGCAATGCGTAAGTTTAAAGGCATGTCATTGCAATTTGTATTGTCTAATTGAGATAAATAAACCCTGTATTCCGCTACGATAAAACCAAAAATTGTAATAATGAATAATTGTAATAATGAAAATAATTGTACTTACCGGGGTGTTGGGTGGGGTCGTGGGACGGTCCAGCTCGATTGTTGTCCTGCTCCATATCATTTAGATCGTTCATATCGTCGTCCAGCGTCAGGTCTTCGACGCACTCCTCAGATTCCTCTAGGTATTCAGACTTTGGCTCGATGAGATTATCGTTTGGCTCGGGCTTTTCAAGTGGCAGCTACAGAATATTAAAACGTATTAAGAGTCGTGGATATCGAAAGAACCCTTTTACATAAGAAATTAAGTCACAACATAAAGAGGAAAAAAAAACATGTTTCGCACCGTTTCCACACTGCGATGTATATGACCAAAGCAGTAGGACAAAGCACGAATTTTTCTTTACCAACGAAGCGAAAGAAACAGCGCTTTTGGCGACAGCCTCTACTAGAACGTTGGCACGCGTGTATGAGAAAAAAAGAAAAACAGAAGAACTCGCAACACTTTACCTGTAACATCTCGTCGGCGGGTTTCGTCAACTGCGTCATCAAAGCTGACCTGCCGAGAGAGTCAGTCGAATCTGCGTGCACTTTCTCGTCTGCCACGGGCGTGATTCCAAGCGCCGGTACACCCATTTGTTGAGGCATGTCACTGGAATTCGATGCATCTTGCATCTCTATCGTACTATCTTCGCCCAAACTTCCTCTTCGAAACCTCTTTCTTTTTCTTGTTGTTGGACTTTGTGAGCCTTCTCTGTATGATAGAAAAAAGCAAGCAATTTTTACCAATACTTCCAAAACGGAAAAATTATATTCTGATATGAAAATTATAATATAATAAAAAACTTTTCTTTCTTGAAATACTCACCTCGAGCAGAGCCTCTTCGGCCCTTGAGGACTAGCCGTATCCTCTGGTATATCCCCCACAGGACCTTGCGCCATACTCTGCCTAGGAACTTTATTCTTTTCTATCGTTAGACCGGAAGACGCGTGTGGAATGTCTAACGATGGTGAAACGCGCGCTATCGGTTGTGAGACGGTTTTCTGTGGTCTGGATTCCGTCTTACTACTACCAGCAGTTTTACTTTCCGAAAGGCCCTTAATTTGCAAAGATTCAGCGGCTTTGAGGAGTGCTGCCAATTGGTCTTGGGAAATGTTGACTTCCCCCCTATACATATAGTCCATCATCGCCTTAAGTTCCTTGAATTTAACATCCTTGAGTATGAAGACTGGGTGCTTGTCATAGTGTTCGCTGAGGAGGCACTATAACATAAAAGTACATATTCTTTCAAACAAACAATACTCATTATACAAGTATGTATATAATAATTCATTTTCCAAATTTGTAGTTTTAGATCAATGTTGCCCCCGTAACTTTTTGTATTTTAAGACAAATATGCAAACACAAATGTAAACACTTTGAATAAAATTGACATATTATAAGCCAAATAAAGTTCATATTATAAACCAAATAATTTATTTAGAAAAAAGCCTCAGTCTCATACATTTATATCATACAATTAGAATATAAAAAACTCTAGAATATAAAGTATCTCAGAAATTGTAGATTCGAGTACATTATTCATTTTCATGATATTCAATTACTGCAATAGCATCTCTGCATCCCCACCCCCATATCAGGATAAAATCCCAGGGCAAGTGCCCTGGAAATCAGCCATCTTGCTTTCCCTGTATTGATCAAGAGGAAACCTAGGAGGGGGCTACACAGGCTTTTGCTCCCCACCCTGCACATTATACACTCCTGCCCAGGCAACAAGCACGGCCATCTTGTTTCAACTTGAGACTCTTTCTCTCCCTCTCCCTTCGCTTCTGAACAATCTATCTCTCTCCCTACCAACGTATTTCGTATTGATCTAACCCAACGGTGCCAACGGGACAAAGAAGCAACCGGAAAAGCTTCATGGCACAAAATTATAATTAGTTAGATGCACAATTATCTTATATCATAGTTCTCTCAATTTTAAATCACGTTCTCATTAACAAGTAATAAAATTCTCAACAAGCATGATTTTTAATAAAACCATAAACATTGCTATTTAAACTATTGCACTGTATCTCTATCATCAGATACAAATATTATTTCACAATTAACTATTATGACAAAGAAGAACAAACAAAAACAAGCAAAATTTTGCTATAAATTATATAAAGTAACAATCCAGATTAATATATAAAATATGAAAGAGAGACACTTCATAGTTGACATTTTTGAAAATTGTATAACCTTTTTAAAACTATACTCTAGGAAATAAGACTGATGTATCGTAGGATTAGATAATGATAAACATAACATTTCACTCACCTCAAAGTATGGACTGCACGCGGAGAGGACGACTTTGTGGGCCTTGAGAGTTTTCCCCTCCGCTGCCAAGGTGCAGTCGACCAGCGTTCCGCTTTCGAGGAGTGTGTCGAAGTTTTGTATGAGCGTACTTTGGTGGTTGTTCCACCTGAGACAGAACTGCTGGTCGTCCTCCATGGTAGTTCTGGCTTAGTTTCCTCGTTTCTGCACAGATGCAAAAAAAAACAGGCAAGATTGCCGATAAACGAATAAACTAACAAGCGGAACAAATCAACGATCGAACAAGAACCGGATAACATACGAGTACGAAATGGGGTTGTTCTCTCTCTCCTCCTGTTCCTTACGTGCTATCGATCGACCGACGGACCCGACGCTATCTCGTCCTCCCGCGACCGATTATTATCGTGCACATCGAGCCGGACGACGTACCCGCGAAAGTACGCCTTTCGACTTTCGTTCCAGTTAGACAATCTTGTCCTTCCCTCTCCCGTTCTTCCTCCTTTTCGCACGCGGCTCTCGCGGGAGGACGACGGAGGCGAAAGCTCCGCAACGAAGCGCCGAAGCTTCCAAAATGGCCGTGTGCTATGCAAGCGCGTCGGTCAGATCGCTCTTCTGGCCTTTGTGCGTGTCTCGTAACGGTAACGGACTGCTACTTGGTGGGGATGATGCAGGAGGACGCGCAAGCACCGCGCACGCGCAGCTGCGACGTCCGGGCTGCGCGCACAACTTGCGCAACTGCGGAGGCTCCTGGGACTCAGGGGCGGCTACTGTTGGCACGGCTGGACTCTCTCTCTTGTCCAGACCCGAAAATTTTATCGTAGAAAAAAAATGTCTCGTACGCGAATTTCTAATGCACCGGAAATCGTAAAAGCGCAATGTTAATAATAAAAGCATAGCTCGTAAAAGTATAATTTAAAGAAGAAGAAAAAAAAAAAAAAAAAAGATTTCGTAAAAAATATACCAAAAATATGTACTTGAATGCAGCTAACGCGTTATAGCAACAGCTTGACAATCTTACAAAACTTTTCACCGTAAGAAACGATTGAGTAAATCACGATTTACGATCGTTCCGCGCATTTTCATCATGACGTGTCAGCGATTCTCGCGTCACCGCCCGAGATGCGGTAAATAAAATCGAAACAGGTCTAACTCGATTTACGTCAGCGCACGATTTATATTAGCAGCGGGTAATAAATACGGAAAATCGATCACGCAGTTCGCGACCGGGTGGGGAAGAACTGGACGTGCCTGCAGCAGGGGGAATTAAGCGAAGTACGCAGTCGCGGAGTACCGCGACATAGCCATCGTGAGAGAGAAAGAGAGAGAAACAGAGCCATCTCTTCTCGGCCTACATGCGATTGCATAATCTATTTATATTGTTATCTCGCGCAAGAGAGCGCGTTACGTCAGACGATGTATCGAGCGAACGGCAACGTGTATGCGCACGAAACAAATTGTTGACAGATAATTTTCCGATCGTGTATATATACAGGTATATTCCGATATACACGGCCAGTATTGAAAATCTATAGTTCACATTACATATATTGTAGTTTTTCTGTACACAGACAGTGTATTTATATTGGAACATAGCCTTTATCTTACACGCTCGCGGGAATACACACAAACACACACTAGGTTTGTTTGTAGCTAAACTTCCCGCACTAACATATACTAAAAACGAGAGATAGATATATCTACTTAAAAGTTAAGAGAAGAGAGGAAAAACAAAACGTTAAATGTTCAGCTACAAAAGAACGAAGCTATTGTCAATAATAGAGCGAAAGATAAGACGACGCGCGAAAAAATGCGGGGGATAGGGGGGGGGGAATCGTTGTGCGACGCCGCGAGACGCCTCTCTTGCCCCTCGACGTCCCTGGAAATCGCGTCGAAGCGAAAGACGTGAATCACAATATGGCGGTTGGCGAGGTCGTGCCCGGGACAAAATGGCGACGAGTGAAAAGCTCGCGGAGGAAAACCACGGCGATCGATCTCGGCGACGCGCGCGCGCGCACGCCCGCGGATTCTCACGTCGACCGAATTCCCCGCGTTCATGCGTCGCGTCTGGACAAGAGCACACTGAAATCGCAAACGGCCGCTAATTCACGCGGGAAATTCGCATACCATTTCCATCAAACGACGACGACGGCTATAAGAATATCGCGACGACGCAACGTTTCCTATCTCTCCAAAACATTCGCCATCTCGTGGAACCGCCCGCCGCGCCATATCACCCGCATATCTCGCGCAATCTTTCCAAAACGCGTACCGTATATAAGAGAGACAGAGAACCGCGCACGATTAAGTAATACCGAGCCCACTCACCTAATAAGGAAGATATAAAAGAATCTAATATCACAGCAATGGAGTCGGTGAAAAGTAAAACAGCGTGACAACGTCCAGACCCGGCGTCCGCCTCGTGCGCTGCCCTTTTCAACTATGGCGTAGCTCAACGCCTTCTAGCTCTGCTGCCTCGGACCGCCGTCGGAGGGCGCAGGCGTCTACGCAAACGGGAGCGAGACGCGTCCCGGAACGAGCAAGAAGGAAAAACAGGAAAACGGCGCGCGCATGCGTGCCGCACGAAAATATTGCGACGTGATTGAGAATAGCATTGAAACGCAGGAGAAGCCGAAACGCGTATATGTGTTGGTCGGCGTCAAAATTATTTCTTTTCTGGCTCTAGGAATGCACCTGATATTACAAAAAGGAACATTGTTTCGTATAAGAATTTTGTAGAAGAAATTTCTAGAGTATTTCTTTAGAGATTCTTGATACTAAATTAATTCTTCTATTGGATATCGGATGCGTTGCAAGTGATTGCGGAAAAAAAAATCTCGATTATAATGCCTATCAAATGAATTATCAATATTATATTTTGTCACAGCAATTTCTCTACAAATCAATTTTATTTAAAAAAAAAAATCGAAATTTATAACTTAGAAATTTACTTAAAATAAAATTAATGTAAGAATTTATAATCATCCTTGATTTAACTTTGTCATGGTGAGATTGCAATTTCGCTATTTTTAAAACTACCTTTTATTTATGCTAATGATTCTTGTACACAACATATGGCAATGCATTAGACTTTATTACTGTACGTAATGAAAAAACAACACGGTAAACAATCATCTTCCAATCTAATATTTTTAAATAAGCGAAAAATTAATTGACCAATATATATTTACAAGGAAATCATTTATTAATTAAAAATTTGCACTAATAATATATCAAAGTTACGTAGCTTTCCGTTACGGTTTTATAAATTCCATAATTGGACAATTGATAATTATGAAGATCGAGTCACAAATGAAAATAATGTATATTAAATCCAGTTACACACATTTCTTATGTGCGAAGACATCTTATGTGATTCTATCTTGATTATGCTTTCTATCCGCTAACTGTTCAGATTGAAAAAAAGCTATTCATTCTCCAGATGTAAGAGAGAATGATTCTAAAATAAATAAAAAATAAATTCAGAAAAGAATGATCCGTAATTCTAAATATTTTATTTATATTTTATATATATTTATATTTCTCTCATCTCTATTATAATAATTTATATAATCATAACATGTGCAAAAAAAGTTTGGAAATTAGTTGTCTCGAAACGAGATGACATTTCTATTAATATATATATATAACATTCATTGTTTTTATTTTCTTACGAAACAGCTTGTGATTCCGTTTTACCCGTGAAGTGATATCATTTATTTCACATTGCTTACTTAATCTGAAGAATAAATAAAGGCAGGTCGGAATCTGATGATGCAATAAATGTATGTAATTCTAAGACCAATCGTCATCGATGCTTATCGCATTCCGGTGATCAAAACAAACAATTATGCTTGGCGATTGAGTCAAGTTTATTTCTACAAAGTCTCACCGTTAAACGGCTCATTAAAATTCGTCGTTAAAACGATTTCGCGTGCTGGCACGATTATGTTAATATCTAGAAATTTCACGTCGAATAATCATGGCGGACGTTCTCCGATTTTTCATCTCGCGTTATGCATTTAACAAGCGTCATGGCCGACGCTTTCCCGAATCTCTCTTACACGCGACCTCGATCACCTTTCTATTAGTAGCAATCGTTCATTCGACAAAATGCAATATCTCGTATATGCGATAACACAGTTGTATAAAATACAGCCACGAATTAGGGGCGAATGATATATAACAAACAGTACTGCGGTGCGACGCGACCGCAGTAATCCAGCACGCGATAATAAGGATTACGTTATGTAACAAAAACCGATAAATTCCCCTCTCGTATCGCACCAGTTTCTCATTGCTCGATAAAAAAAAAAAAAAAAAAAAAAACCGCCGAGAAATTACCGTGAAATACGCATATGATCAATCGCACTTGCCTCGCTAAGCGCGATATTCGCGTCCGCTTTAAATTTGCCGAGCTGTATTTATATAAATATATACTTATGCGATATACACAGTGTCGCGCGCTCAGACTTTAATCTAAATCACGAATGTAAATCCGTATTTCGTCCATTTTAAATTTCATATCGGTTATCGTCGTATCGCGTAACACGAAGATTGTAAATTTAACCGAAGCTTCGCTTTAAACGCGCTGCTCGAAATCCAAGTCGCGGAAGCGACCGAGAGCACCATTTTTACTAGACGATAACCCGTTTAAAGTACAATAACCTCTGTCCGTCGTTGTTTCTCATTCGACGGCTTACACCGTCCCAAGCTTACATATAGATCTCCCGATTCCCCGCGCGTTTCTTCCTAACACGTTCCGAGGGACGCGCGGCGCGCGACGATTTTCGCCGGGAGCGAACGTCGTCGCAGAAACTGGACCGCGTCGTCACCGCTCGACGTCACGAGCCGGCCTAAAAACACGTTCTGGTACGCGTAACGTAATGGCCGACCTCGCCGTTCTCGCGCGAGACAAAATGGCGAAAAATCGTCGAAAAAGCTCGGGAAAACTCGTTCGGGGCGATTACGGCGAATTTAGTCCGACGATATTTCGCGCCTTCTTACGCGCGCGACTTTTCCCCCTTCGATGTACAAACGCGAGAACGCGAGAACACGGCATGGCGGGCAGAGCGCGACCCGATTTTCCGCCCAACTTTTCACCGGGCAACGGATGATACTCGGAATCTCTCGCGGTTTTCGTAAACGGCTTGTAACGACGCGTGAAGCAAGGGAGAGGAGAGCGAGCGCTAGTTCCTTCTACTCACCTAAATATTGGCACAGTCTAAATATCACAAGAGGACGAACTTGGGGAAACTACGCGTCCACTCCTCAGCGCGCACTATCCGAGCGTCATGGGTCCTTTTTACACAATGGCCGTGGCCGCGCTACGCGGTTTCGATCGATGGAGTTTCTGCGGGAAGATAACGCCAGACACACGGAAACGGCTCGCCCCGTCGCAGCGCCCCCAGACGCGGCGCAGAACGTACCAACGCGCCTTCTGCGCATCGAGGGAACGCGAAAGTGGGAGCGAAAGGAGAGCGACGCAGGATCGTCGCGAAGCTGCCAAAGTCCCGAGAATATAACGTGATATATTTATATTTCTTATATTTTTTCATACGCAATTGAGAGAAAAAAGTACTAGGACAAGGGACAATTTTTATTAAGGGGAAAGGGGGAGCATGATTAATACTACGTGATTGATAACGATAAATTTTGAAGGAAAAGCTTACAATGTTAATTGTTAAGAATTAATTTACTGTTCTGAATTATATATATGAACCAATATATACATTTATTGTTTACAACACTCGAATGTAAATATACTAGGCTAGGTTTAAATATACTAGGCTATATTTACGAAGTTAAATTTGAGGTCGTAGCATGACACGCTTATATCTAGCGCCCCCTTGTGTGTGACTCTTGCATGCAAAAATCACGGCCCTGTCGCTCGACGTGTACCGTGACGGTATTGGCCGGCGGTGGGGATCGGCACGAGTGGTGGAGGTAAAGAGCCGGGTTTCCGTTCTAGAGCGCGTTCGCGGCGTAGCGTAGCCGACGGCGACGAGGCGGGAGAGGCGAAAGGCGACGCGCGGGAGAAGTGGAAAGCCGGGAAGAGAGAGCCGACGAAGGAAAGAGAATCGTGGGTCCACAACAAAATCGCTTAATCGCTTTGCGCCACCGTCCGCAACGGAGCACAGCCTATCCGTCGCCGCCATCGCAGTGCCCCCTATAGTGTGCATGCATGTTCCTAGCTTTCTCTCTCTCTCTCTCTCTCTCTTTCTCTCTCCCTCCCTTTCTCCCCCTTTTACCCCTTTCTCCTTCTTTCGCGCTAGCCGAGTCTCGCGCTCCGTCTTTCTCTCCTTCTCCCTCTCCCTCTCCCTCTCCCTTTCCCTCCCCCTTCCTCGCCTTCGCGGTCTCTCCCGCTGTCTCTGTCTCCCCGTGATTCGCTATGCCACTTCGGCCCGCGACGTTTTCACGGGCAATCCGTGAGTGACAGCTGCCAGTGGCCAACGCGGTGAGTGCGTGTGTCTCTCGCTCGACGACTGACACGGCTGATACCGGCTGTGCGTGCGTGACAGCTTGCACGCGTGCGTGCGTGCGTGCGTGCGCGCGAATACGCGCGGGTAAATACGTAATTTGACGAGGCCGTCCGTTTCGTTTCGCGCCCTGTTTCGGACCGTGTGTTTATCATCTGATACGGCGAAAGTGTGTGCCTGTCCCCCGGGACCTTGGAGCAACGCGGGGGTTGACGATTACCGTCGATCGGATCGTCGCCACCGTTGCTGCTACTGCTACTGCTACTACTACACTACTATTACTCTACTACTGCCGCTGCTGCTCCGCTAAGATTTGATTTGTGGGTCAGGTCATGGTAAGGTACGGACTGTCACGATCTTGCATGAATCTTCGCGCGACGTCTTTCTCGACAACGTCATTCGCATCTGTCATTTCGAAATACATACGCACGATCTGTCTTCACTCGTTGTGTGACATTAATAACGCGAGTTACACACCGTGAATCGTTTTCTCGAACTACGCATTGACGCGCCGAAATTTGTTTTGTAAACAAATACGATAGCTACGTACTGTGTTCCCTGCATTCTACAAGGCGCGCGGCCGTACGGCATATCTTTTTTTTTTTCCTTTTTATTATCAATACGGCCACGTGCTTTCTGGACAAGTGCGCCAGTCAATGAGCCAATTGTGAAGCGCGAGTGAACGACAGTATCGTTTTCGTGTGTAAAATTATATATGCGACAATGTCACGATGTGTTATAAATTTCAATGATCGATTTTAAAACTGTCAGAATTTCCATTTACTTCTGTATTTACGTGAGATTTATTACAAAACGAGCTTATTAATTAATCTGAGATTTTCCAAGCTTCAAGATTAATGATAATTCTGAGTATATCATGGATTATCTACTTTATTCAAGTTTAATTTATGTATTTATAAAATAGAGAATCATAAAAAATTATACATATGTAAAGCAGTTTGCAAATTTGGAATATTTTTATAAAATTAAATTTTTCTAATTATAGAAATAGTCAATTAAATTTATTATTGGATTTCTTTAACACGTTTCTGCGTGCACGCATCGATACACATTGAAATGTGCATGTATTCGCGGCGCGATTAATCACGTTTGAAAGGAGGAAAATCGATGTCTTTATCGAACGTTCGATTTTCCTCGTTTTTTCTTTATGGCCACGCGCGAAGCCGCATTGTTTTGACTCCAGGGTGCTTCGGTCGCTACACATATATACATCTCGCACATACATACACGCATAATTAATCGCGTACATAGAGACACAATACTCGTGCGCTTAAACGAGCTGTCGCGTGTACAGAGCCGACGAATTAAAAGCGGTCCCTCGGAATAAAAGCGCGCGCGTCTTCGTAAAGCCACGAGGTTTTCGTCCGCCTTGAAACCGCCGTGTCACCCGTTACGGTAGGTCACGTGCTCACGATACTCGTCCAATAATCGTCAATTACGAATGCGCGGGATGCAATCTGCGGCAGTGCCCGAGATGCGCGCCCGAGAGTTTACGCGCCGTTAATCCCTCTCGACGCGGTGGATCCAAGGAAATTATACGGGTATCGGGGAGAGAAACTTGGTCTATTCTACTTCGTGGAAATGTGTACGCGCGTCAGTAAAATAAATCGTTGTAACCGCTTTGATGTAGATTTCGAGGATTAGTTTCGAGAGATGATATCGCGTTGAAGAATTGAAAAAGTTTGCTATTGCTTTTCGAGAATCGAATCTTGGAGAATAAGACGGTAAAGCGTTTCGATTAAAAATATCTTTAGACGAAGGAATTGATTAACATTTGTATTGAATTTTTTTCTTTTTGTGATAAAACGAGCGAAGGAGGGTTAATCATTACTGTAAATATGCAGATATATTTTTTTATTATTTATATAATAACAGAGGATGATATCAGAAATGATGCGATTGAAAATTAGTTGTTGATATGATTTATTAACTTCATGAGAGACTAAAACGATATAAATTAATAATCTATTATTTGTGATAGAATCTCTTTGTCCTTATCAATATATGGTAGACTAACTTTGATAGCAATAATATTTCGGAAACATCGAGATTCCACCATACGAATGAATAGATTTCCAATGTTAGTACCGTACATTTAATCTGTCTTTCAATTCGCGTCTCGTTCGGCGAACAATATAAGCTTCGCGTATATTGTTGACGATCGTCGTATTTCACNNCACGATTGCCGGCTGCATCGCGTGTCGATCGTCGTGCGTGACACGACCGACGAAAAGCTTGGGGAGCACTCATCGTACCCGTGCGGTAAACGGGTTTATCGATAATTAAATGATTGTCAAATACGAGAAAATCGCCGATGATTGATGATGACGGATCGGCAAAGTTTCGCAGTTGTATTGCCGTGTTTTATTAACGTGCGCCTCTGTCACCTTCCTCCCCCCGTCCCCACCCCATTTCTTTTCACGCACAAGCGATACGTTAATAAATTCTTCATGTCGCTCGATAAGAGCTTAGAACAAGTACTTTATCGTGCGCGAAATTCGTTTTTCTATTTCTTCCGTGATCTAATTAATATCGTAATCATTTTTCAAACAAGTATGAGATATATTTATCGAGGAAAGTCTCTAATGTTAGGCCGATATTACATTTGTCGTACGAGAAACTTTTTAAGCATATTGATTGGCTGCAAAATAGGAACTTTCTTGAGTTTCTAGAAATTAGCTAATCAATGCGCTTAAAAAGTTTGTCGTACGACAAATGTAATATCGGCCTTAGACACATATATTTCGTAAAGTTTGCAATAGAGGGATTAGAATTATTGAAAATATTATCGTATGCGCCAAAAAAGATATGGAAAATGCGGGATACGTTTTCAACATAGGGTGTTTTTTTTAAATCCTCTATCGGAAAGATATTTTTCAATACGATTGCAATATAAGCTTTACCTTCGATCTCTGAATGTAAGATTAAACGTTCGTAATGGACTCGCTTAAGAATCGCGAGTTTAATGTCAATCTTTCGTCTCATGTCGGGAAGAGAGAGAAAGATAGGCATAGCTCGTGGCATCATCATCATCATCACCGTGAGGTTTTCTCCTGCGCGTATCGAGCAACGGTTCGCCTATACATCGCGTTTCGCGCGCCGCCGATGATAAAGAGAAATGCTGCCTAGAAAGCAGGTCTTGGCTGAATCTAGGCCACCCTGATGATGGCGCGTGCACATTCTCCACAATTTTACTGTTCCTTCTCTCACAGCGTTCCTTGCCTCGCGTTCCTTTCCCGCCGTTCGATAGAACAACACTATTTCTATCTCTCCCTCTCGTTCTCTCTTTCTCTCTCTCTCTCTCTCTCTCTCTCTGTCTCTGTCTCGTGCGTCTTCTAGCTTCAGCTTCCCTTCCCTCCCGAATCCCTCTCACCCTCTCCCTCTTTCTATCTCTCTGCCTTTCTCCTCGGCCTCTCTCCTGGTACGTCTCTTCTCCTCTTCCATCGATCGCCTCCTTCTCTCTTCCTGCCCCTTTTTTTTTTCCCCACCCGGCATGATTCAAGGATCGAGTTCCGGAGGACGACCAGATGCGAATCGGCGAAAAAAAGAGAGGGAACGCGAGGATCGCGGTACCGTAATGCCTCGCGCGACGGGATTTACAAATTGCAAAAGCGAGAACGAGTCTCTCGGCTGCGCGCTGTCTCAATAGCAGGCTCGTTCGTAACTTCGTTTGTGAAATGTCGCGATGACGACGGGTGGGCGTGTTTATAGGATGATGTTTAACTTTGCGACGCAATATAAGAATCTTTCATGCTGTCGAATTAATAGGAAAGATTTTCCGTTGACAAACGCCAGACGCGAATAATTTCCTCTCGGTTTGAACGTTTGAGCACAAAAGCAACGTGACTCTTTCGCGTATCTGTCTC